TCCTGAGCTTGTGATTCGTAGATCGGATTTGGCTTCGGGTTCGGCGAGGAGAAGCGATACGGAGGGTGGAAGCTTCTCACATCTGGGTGCCCCCTTTCCGGCTGTACAGTATTGCCAAACAGAATTGTCGGACACCGAGGGCCTGATCCTTGTCTCGGATGGATCCTCGGAGGACTCAAAAAAGAGGCCAGCAACAGGGAGGAAGAGGAGGAAGAAGAACTCTCCTAAGGATGATGAGGAGGATGACTGTCATAAATATGGAACGCACTTCTCGGAAGGAAATAAAAGAAGAGTAGAGAAAGAGATGGCAGGTTTGGAATTAGAGCATGCTGGTAATATAAACCTGAAGGTCAAAGACATGATAGAGGAAATAGAGTCTATTAGGAAAAGATCTACAAATATCAAAGGCTCGTTTAGCGGGCAGATAAAGGTCTGCCTAGAGGTCATCCGCAGAGCGAGCATGCTTCTCTCTAAGAAGGCTTCAACGAAGGAAGATCCAGATTACTGGAAGGCGAAGTTCTATGAGATGGAAAGGTCCTCTTTCGAAAACAAATGCAAAATAAGTGCCTTGGAGGAGGAATTGAAAAATGTTAAAAGAGAGGCTAGAATTAAGGAGTCGTACGATGTTGGTAGAGATGAAATAGCAGAATCATCCGCTGTTATGGGGATCTCACCCACTGGCCCTCCTCGAAGACAGGACATTGGGAAAGATACATCTAGAAATAAAAAAGAGGGCAGATTTCATGAAAATAATGCTACAAAAACGACAAAGAGTGAAGGAACTGTAGCTAAGAGTAATCTGGACAGAGTAGATCTAGATTTGATGATTATTCATACACTAGACAAACTCGGAGAAGGGATGAATCAATTGATACAGGAAACGAGGTTAATGAGAGATGATTTAGGCTCGGGCTGCCGCGAGGGTGGAAACGCCGTCCGCAGAAATCCTGTGATTGTTGCACCATCTGAAAAAGAAAAAAGAGACGTTAATAAAATTGCTGGTAATAGGAATTACAGTGAGGCTGTTAAATCCTTAAAGCCGGCCCCGTTGAGTTTAGATAGAAATAACAACAAAGGGAAGAAGAATAGAAATAAAAGAGCAAGGGAGGCGAGAAATGAAAGGAGCGAGGACTCAGTGACCTCGACGGACTGGTCAACGGTTAAAGGTAGGAAGGAGGTGGGCTTCACAGGTGAAGACGAAGTAAGATATACAAAAAGAGGAAACGCTTCAAATATCACTAGTATGAGCGGAAATGAAACGGGTAACGACCTCATAGATTTTGACCAAAATAATGAGGACTGGATCGTGGTCAGGAAGAAATCCAAAAAACTTGTGAAAGACAGTCAAAACTTTGGTAGCAATAATTCAATATTTAAGGGAATTCCTAGTCCAAATCCAAAGGCAGGAAATAGTAAGAATGGTAACAATTATAAGGACGTTTTAATCAATTCGAACAAGGAGACTCTGAGTTCTCTCAAGAGGAGAATTCCACGTACTGCGGCGGTCTCTATATTACTGGAAGAATGTGAGTTAAACTATTCGGAAGTGTTGGGTAAGGCAAGGGAGAAGATTTCCCTTACAGAGTTAGGGATAGCAAATACCCGGTTGAAGCGGGCTGCCAATGGGGGTATACTGATCAAGATCCCTGGGGAAGGGGCTAACGATAAGGCTAACGCACTGTATAAAAAACTGAAAGAATTGTTTTGTAATCAGAAAGGTGTATTGGTTCGTAGGCCGGGCAAATTGTCGCAACTTAGATTGTCAGGCCTCGATGATTCTATTACGGCCAAGGAATTGGTAGCTATGGTCTCAGCCGTGGGTAAGTGTTCTCCGGAGGAGGTCGCATGTAGTCCAATTAGGTATGTCCGTGGGGGCCTGGGTGTGGCGTTTTTGCGTTGTCCGGTCCCCGCTGCCCGTAAACCTGTTGGAAAAGGAAAAAATTAATGTGGGATGGTCGACTATTAAAATAGAGGTCCTCAAAGTTAAGCCTATGCAGTGCTTCCGGTGTCTAGCGGCGGGCCACGCGGTGCAGAGATGCCCCAGCACTAACATACGTAGATTTAACTGCTACAAATGTGGTCAAAGTGATCATAAGGTGCAGGACTGTAGAAATAAAATCTTCTGCCCTATCTGCTCGGAACGTGGTCTAAATCCGAACCATATGATGGGGAGTATCCACTGCAAGCCGGTTCCGCCTAAAAAACTAGAAATAAACAGATCAGTTAGTAATAAAGAAATAGAGAGAGAACCTATTCCTTCTACATCTAAGGCCACTGAGGAACGGAGACCTCAGGAGACGATGGGGTTCTCCCCTGTCGAACTGATGGAATGTGTTTCTGAACTCCCATAATGAGTATTATACAGTGTAATGTTAATTTATCTAAGCAGGCCCAGGACAACTTATATCATTTAATGGAGGAAAAGAACGCGGACTTGGCTGTCATTTCGGAGCCAAATAACATCCCCGAGGATGACAGGTGGGTGGCAGAATTAAATACTCCGGCGAAAGCGGCGATATTATGGCGTAAAAATCCCAAAAAGTTTTTACCCATGCGGATGTTAGGGAGGGGCAAAGGCTTCTGTTATATTGAATGGAACAATTGTGTAGTTATTAGTTGTTACTTCTCACCGAACGAGAGCATGTTTAATGCCCTACTGGATGACATCCGCATGGTGATTACTGAGTACGGAAACTTCCCGGTGCTACTCCTGGGAGACTTTAATGCTAGGAACAAAGAATGGGATAGAGGGCTTTCAAATAAAAAGGGAACCATACTTAAAGATTGGATTGATCATTGGGAATTGTTCGTGCTCAATAATAAATATATTCCGACGTGCGTGAGATATCAGGGCAGATCTGTTGTTGATCTTTCCCTGGCTAATTCCGTGGCGAAAAGGCTAATAATAAATTGTAAAGTCGAGGCAAATACGGTTACATTATCCGACCACAGGCTAATCTCAATCGTGATGGGCTCTGATTCTGCTAAAAGAAAACAGAGAGAAATTAATAACAATTTTCCTAAATGGAATTATAAAAAATTAGATATAGTCTCCTTCAAAACGTACTTAATTAATAGAGCCTGGAGTCACGATAATGGTAACGCTACGGCGGATTCTCTAGCGGATTGGCTAAATAAAAGCTTGGGTGGAACCTGCGATTTTTCGATGCCGAGAAGTAGTGGCCGGATTAGGAATTCGGCATATTGGTGGTGCGAAGAGTTAGAGCTTCTGAGGGCCCTAGTGACTAGAGTCAGAAGAGCTCTCTCCAGAACCAGAAGGCGGGGAGACCAGGGAGCAATCAACATAAAATATAAGGAGTATCGGGTTTCCCTAAGAGATTATAGATTGGGTATTAAAAAGGCTAAATTGAAAGCATGGAACGATTTGATACGCGAACTTGATGACGACCCCTGGGGCTTATCATATAAAATTGCGCTTAAGAAACTACGACCGGGAACGCACCCTGCGTGCGAAACCTTATCGCACGACATAGTTAGGTCCATCGTTGATGAACTCTTTCCGAGAGGGGAAATCAGCGACCCTCTGGTTACTGGTGATCCTTCATCCTCCTGGTCTTCTGAGTCTGGAGTCGCGGCGGCCGAAATAGATGAGGCTAGAGGCAAATTGAGAGGGGATAGAAAGGCCCCTGGTCCTGATGGTGTGCTGGGCGGGATTGTTTCCGGAAGCGTGGGGGAATTCATGGGGATTTGGCTCTCATGTTTCACCGCATGTTTGAAGGAGGGTGTCTTTCCACACTCGTGGAAGTTGGCAAAATTAGTTCTATTAAGAAAGAAGGAAGGATTACTAACAGATCCGCATGTCTACAGACCGATCTGCCTTTTAAACGAACCGGCAAAATTATTCGAAAGGGTGATAGTGGAGAGAATCCACGGGCATCTGGAGTTGGGTGGCCTCTTGTCGGAAAACCAATTCGGTTTCAGAAGGGGCCTCTCAACTTTAGATGCTATTTTTAAATTGAGAGATATAGTGAGAGGTGAATTGATGGAAAATAAGGTGGTAATGGCGGTGGCCTTTGACATCACCAACGCTTTTAATTCCCTGCCGTGGGATGTGATTATGAGGGCCATGGTTTCCATGAATTTCCCCGAATATCTCACTAGGATTGTCTCATCCTACCTATCGGATCGATGGCTGATATATGTAGACTGCGATGGTGTCATCCGTCGTAGGCAGCTATCTTGTGGTGTACCGCAGGGTTCGGTCCTTGGCCCAACCCTGTGGAACATAGGCTACAATGCCGTTTTGAACATGGAGCTTCCGGAATTCTGTTGGATGTTGGGCTATGCGGATGACACCATCTTGCTAGTCTCGGGGGAGGACCTTGAGGAGGTCAGGTTCGGGGCCATGAACGCGGCAGCCAGGATTGTTCGCGCTATTGAGAACATGGGCCTTTCTATCGCGCCCCATAAGACGGAGGCAATGGTCTTTCCGTCCTCTGCAGTTGGACATGGTCCACCTGTTCGGGTTTTTGTTAAAGATAGAGACATCTTAGTCTCAGATAAAATAAGATATCTGGGTGTGATAATCGACGGAGATTGGAGCTTCAACTATCACTTTGACTTCGTTCTATCAAAGGTTGACCGAATAATTGGGTTTCTAAGGGGGATCATGCCCAACTGTAGAGGGCCGAGAGAGAGAAAGAGGAAGCTGTACTGCAGCGTAGTGCAGTCTATTATTTTGTACGGGGCGCCTATTTGGTTCGAAACATTTGTAAAAAGTGAGACTAAAAGCAAGGGTGGCCAAGGTCATGAGAAAGATCACCCAAAGAGTAAGCTGCACCTATCGTACGGTGTCCTATAACGCATCTATGGTGTTATCGGGGACTCCACCCATCGAATATACCGCGGGGAGGCTTTTTAAGGCTTATCAAATGAGGAGGGAGGGTGGACCTGGGGGGGATTCTCCTAGATCCAGACTACGCTCACGGGGGGAGGCGAAATTAAACGTATTAAGGGAATGGAAGAGAGACCTTGACGGGATGGGCGATGATCTGCCAGGTTTCAGGGTTTGCAAGGCTATCGGGGATAAATTGATAGATTGGGTAACCAGGGGTCACGGCTGGGTCACATTTCATATGGCTCAGCTAATTACCGATCATGGTTGCCTGAATAGTTATCTATACAGAATAAACAGGGTGGATGGGGCAATGTGTTCCCACTGTTTCTGGGGGAATGACGACGCCCAGCACACCCTACAATTTTGCGAGGCTTGGGAAAATGAGAGGAATGACCTGAAGAGATCAATCGGGAATGATCTTAGTTTAAGAAATATTATAAGTGCTATTTTAGATGATAATGAAAAATGGAAGGCCTTTGCCAAATTTTGCACAGTAGTTATGTCTAAGAAAGAAAAAGCGGAACGTGAAAGACAGCTGTTGGACCGTCGGCAGAGAATTGGGTATCCCGACAATGATCTCTCGGACTGATCTCCTATGATTCTTTTGTATTAATTGGCGCTATTGCAAACTTTAGATAGTTGGGCTGAGTTAGCTTCTATATTTAAAAACTGATTAGAATTAGAATAAGCTAGATATTATGGTAGGATATAAATAGAATATATAAACATGAAATAGAATTAGAATTCAGAGACCTTACATATTTTGCGTTTGCGCTTGTCTAGTGCGTGCGAATGTAGTGAGTGGGTGCATACGTATGCGTGTGTGTATATATATGTATGTGTGCGTGTATGTGTGTGTGAGCTATGATAATAATTAGGATGCGTAGTCGAGGGTAGTGGACGTGTAATGTGGAACACTGCACCTACCTAAGAAATTTCATACGCTATTGTAATATAGTCCCGTCGATAGTTTTTGTTATAAGCCGATAGGCTGGGTCTGAGGAGAGACGGAGATATGCTGTCCTTAGTAAGCCCGTCTCTCTCTCATTGATAGGCCTTTCTAGGGCATGAGGTGAGTTTTTAGCTGGTAGGCGGTCGGGATGGTCATCGGAGTCCGGTAGTTCTCCGGGGTTGGGTGCTCTCCTTCCTCTCCGGTTGTCCGATTGGTACCTGCACGCGGGCCTTCTGGATGCTGGTTAGGGTGTGGTACTCGTCTCCTCCG